ACAACATTTCAAGATATTCTGCACTCTGGACGAGCATCAAAAACAACTACTGTTTTCTAGAATTGTTTCAAAAGGATTTGAATTTGCTTGTGCAAAGACCGGATCAGAAAAGAACGATGATTATGAGAATGAATGAGATTTATCACCTTAACGATGAGGTAACTGTGAAGCAGCATGAGATTGTTCTGCATTTCATATGGCACTTTGATTTGTTTGTGCACAAGTTCTTGATGCATTTCAAATAATAAGTGATGTGCCATTCTATACGAGCCTCGGTTTTGCTCTTCACGCGCGATTATAATCGCTGTTTTAGCTGCTTCTTGATTCATTTGCATTGCAACGTAGAATCGAAACAAATACTTTGCATCCTGGAACTTGAATGAGTTAGCAAGATTCTTCTGAATTACGATTTCTCATAAGGTGCTGTCCATTCAGAACGGAAGTTTCGGCAGCGCGTTTTGACGCCTACCATTTTGGCGATGGCTGTTTCGACGCAAAAGTGTCTTTCCTATGGAGACACGAAGCCTATGTTAATTGGCTCAGGACGCATGGGTAGTTAACCCAAAGCATGTGCTCCTGACGGCCAAAATGTCCCATAAATATGTGGTAAACCGTATATTGAACCCCTGATCGTGACATTAAAAACTTTAATATTTGTATTATAAAGCAATATGTGATTCGACTGCTTGCAGGATCGAGATGAAACAGAACTAATACGGATTTGAGTTAAAAAATGCTTGAAAATCGCTAAAGTTGACAAAAAAGGACATGAAACTCACAGCCAGAAAATCGCAAAGAAATAAAACCCTGAATGAATCGATTCGCATTGTCTGCGGTCAGCGACATTTATGCGTTTAGCTAGACTGTATTTTCATTCGCGTTCTGCCGATAAAATGAAGCCATTCTTATGCATTCCAATCACACTACGTGTGATTGGAATGCATAAGAATGGCTTCATTTTACATCGAAATTTCCACTCATAAATTCCAACAAATGTGACTGAAAATACCTTCGGAATGCCGTCCGTTTCGCCCATCAGAAAGTCGGTAAGCTGTTTACACAAATCAGCATCTCTAGCCTCGGCCACACACTCGATCGCCGTTTTTATCGCTTCGGAATCCTCACCGTTCAACAATAACAAATCGAGAGCCTTTAAATTTCATTCTCTTCACGCATTCGCATTCCCCACGACGTTAGCCATTCAAATGTTGTTCAGTTCAAATGAGTGTATCCTCATAAATGCACATCTGATTTTATGGAGAACTGTTTACATGATTTAATCAAGTTTTCATAACCCGCAAAATTAAGTTTATTTCTCATATAGTGACTTCATGACCAGAACCTTTCTGTAATGCTTCGCCCTATAATGGTATTTTCCGGCACTTGAATAATTCTTAATCGATGAATAGAATTCAGCAAGTTGACTGAATTGCTCTACGGTTCCTTCGTCATCGATTGCTTCCGCATAAACATTCATTTTTTGTTCCGCTTCGGCCAATTGAAAGGCTTCCTGGAACGAGATTACTTTTTTAGACTCTATCAGCGAGGCGATTCTAGTGGTTTTTTGATGCGATCGTCGATCGGTTTTATTAAAGCGTCAAAAGAGAATTGATAAGAAGGCAGTCATCAAATTTTGAGAAGTTATATAATAAACTGAAAATACTCCTTGCACAGAACATGACAGTGTCGAGGACGAACCTGCTGACATTGTGAGAGAACTAGAAATTGTATTGCTGACTCTTGATCACCCAA